AAAAAAAAAAAAAAAAAAGCAGGAGTTGCAATCCTAGTCTCTGATAAAAAGGACTTTAAACCAACAAAGATCAAAAGAGACAAAGAAGGGCATTACACAATGGTAAAAGGATTAATGCAACAAGAAGAGCTAACTATCCTAAATATATACACACCTAACACATGAGCACCCAGATACATAAAGCCGGTTCTTAATGACCTACAAAGAGATTTAGACTCCCACACAATAATAGTGGGAGACTTTAACATTCCACTGTCAATATTAGATCAACAAGGCAGAAAATTAACAAGTATATCCAGGACTTGAACTCAGAGCTGGACCAAGTGGACCTAATAGACATCTACAGAACTCTCCACCCCAAATCCACAGAATATACATTCTTCTCAGTACCACATCGCACCTACTCTAAAATTGATCACATAATTGGAAGCAAATCAGTTCTCAGCAAATGCAAAAGAACAGAAATTGTAACAAACAGTCTCTAAGACCACAGTGCAATCAAATTAGAACTCAGGATTAAGAAACTAACTCAGAACTGCACAACTTCATGGAAACTGAAAAACTGGCTCCTGAATGTTGACTGGATAAACAATGAAATGAAGGCAAAAATAAAGATGTTCTTTGAAACCAACAGAGTTTCCTAATTAGAGAAATGTGTGGAGGTTTCAATTGAGAGTGTGAATAAATTCTGCATGTCTTCTGATTTTGCAAAAATTCTCACATATACATATCTATATACACACCCATACATATATGCATACACTCTTGCACACATTAGCTGAATTATAAATTAAATTAAAATTTTAAATTAAATGATTTTTTAATTTTTATATAATTGACATAAATACTTAAGGCATATCGTTTTACAAGAAACACTTATCAAGTCATCATAATTAAGAAAATGAAAATATCTATTTCACCAAAAAGTTTTCTTCTACCTTTTTACATTCCCTGCCTATTGCCCCATCTTCTATTCATCCTAACAACATTTGGTTTCTGTCATATAGATTAATTTATATTTTTGAGATATTATGTGAATATTGTCATATAACATACACAGGCATATCCCATTTTATTCCACCTTATTGTGCTTCACAGTATCTGTGTTTTTACAAATTGAACATTTGTAGCAACCCAGTGTGTCAAGCAAGTCTATCAGCACCATTTTCCAACAACATGTGGTCACTTCTTGAGTGTGTGTCACATTTTGGTAATTCTCATAATATTTCGAACTTTTTTATTATTATCATACCTGCTATGGTGATCTCTGATCAGCAATATTTGATGTTACCATTGTAGTTGACTTAGAACACCACAAGCCATGCCCATATAAGACAGCACACATAATCAATGAAGGTTGTGTGTTCTGACTGCTCCATTGACCAGATGTTCTCTTACCTCCCTCCCTCTCCTCAGGCCTTCCTATTCCCTAAGATA